ACAGGTCGTTGCAACCAAAATGATTTTTGCAAGTAGAGGCCAGTTAGTAACTTGGAAATTGAGGGAAGTCTGGAGTGGTGGGCAGAAGTGGGATGAGGAGGCAGGAAAGAGGGGAGGCTGGTCAGGTTTGGAGAGACAGCAGGAGATAAATGACCTGGGAACGGACACCACGGGTATTACTGTGGGGACTGATGGATCTGGAGTCAGAGGTCAGGGGTGACCCTGGTGTGGATCGCGGGGGTGTGCGGCTAACACTTGTCTCTCAGGTGATGGAGAGTACCCCTTCTAGGGGTGGACTGAACCGGGTGCATCTACAATGCAGGAATCTGCAGGAATTCTTAGGGAGCCTAAGCCCTGGGGTTTTGGATCGATTGTATGGGCACCCTGCCACCTGTCTGGCTGTCTTCAGGTGAGGAGTTCCCTTCACGGCAGCAACTGTGGTGGAGAAATGTGGTAGGGCTGGCAGACGGCAATGAGTTATCCTGGGCAGAACCGTAGCAGCCTGGCACGGCTTGGGAATTACTCCAAATTGATGCAGATGGAACAGATGGGGGTTCTGGGGACAGCAGGACTGGTTAAGATACGTGTGTGTGTGTGTGTGTGTGTGTGTGTTTCTGGTGAGATGAGATGTTTGAGAGGCATGTCAGGCAGAGATAGAGATAGAAGGCAGCTTCTGGTTTTGATTTCTGACCTCTACCCTCTGCAGAGAGCTCCCATCTTTGGCTAAGAACTGGGTGATGCGGATGCTCTTTCTGGAGCAGCCTTTGCCGCAAGCTGCCGTAGCCCTGTGGGTGAAGAAGGAGTTCAGCAAGTGAGTCTCGACGGCACTCTCAGCCAGATACAAATTTCTCAGCAGCTAGATTTCTCAAACTGCTGTTCTTTGGCACACTCTCAGGAAATACTAATAGGTACACCACAAAGCTTGCATGCTGTGTTTTCCTTCTTGGAGAGTTGTGATGTCTGTAGCAAGGTTCTGAAATTTGTGTTTAGGGGCTGGCTCTGTGGCGTAGTGGGTAAAGCCACCGCCTGCAGTGCCGGCATCCCATGTGGGCTCCACTTCCGATCCAGCTCTCTGCTATGGCCTGGGAAAACAGTGGAAGATGGCCCAAGCGCTTGGGCCCCTGCACCCACGTGGGAGACCCGGAAGAAGCTCCTGGCTCCTGGCTTCAGATTGGCCTAGTTCTGGCCATTGAGGCCATCTGGGGAGTGAACCAGCGGATGGAAGATCTCTGTCTCTGTCTCTGCTTCTGCCTCTCTGTATCTTTGCCTTTCAAATAAATAAATAAATCTTTTTTTAAAAAAGAAGAAATTTGTGTTTAGGAGACAGTGACTTCACTCTGAAATGGTTCGGAAGAGGCAGAAGTGGAGCCTGTGTGGGCCTCCTTCGTTTTGTTCTCGGGACACCCACTTAGCACTCATCTCGGCTTCTGTTCCAGGGCTCAGGAGCAAAGTACGGGGCTGCTGAGCGGCCTCCGGATCTGGCACACCCAGCTGCTCCCTGGAGGCCTCCAGGGCCTCATCCTCAACCCCGTCTTCCGCCAGAACCTCCGCGTCGCCCTTCTCGGTGGGTATGTCACTTCCATCTCTTCCTAAGCCAGCCCAGGGGGACAGGTAGTTCAGCTGCCGGAGGGGAAGCTCCTGGGGGGAGAGGGAACTCCTGGAGGGGAGAGGAGACTCCTGGCGGGGAGTGGGGCTCCTTGGAGCCTTGCGGGGCCCACCTTTGAGAACTCCTTTAGGGAGAAGTTGAATCAGATACAGCTGCATGGTGTAGGAAGTGTCCCCTATGCATAGCCCTTGGGGTAAGGGTGGAGAGGGGGCAGATGGGCAGCAGGGAACAGAGCCAAGGTTCCTCACCTCTTGGTGCGTCCTGGCCTTAGGGGGAAGGCCTGGTCTGATGACACAAGTCAGCTGGGACCCGACAAGCATGCCCGGGATGTCCCCTCCCTCGACAAGTACGCAGAGGAGCGATGGGAGGTGAGGCCCCTGGGGTTCTGCGGTTCTGCGGGTCTGCGCTCGCGCCGCTGCATCCGTGGCTCGCAGAGGCATCAGCCTCTGTGTTGTCTTCTGCTCTGCAGGTGGTCTTGCACTTCATGGTGGGCTCCCCGAGTGCGGCCGTCAGCCAGGACTTGGCCCAGCTCCTCAGTCAGGCTGGGCTCATGAAGAGGTGAGCAAGCTGGAGGTAACGCGACTCCCTGCTCTGCCGTCTCTTTGGGTCCTTGGTAAATGGTGTCTGGAGTGGGACCAGGTTCGAGGGAGTTGACTGCAAAAGCAGAGCTGGGTCCAGCAGAGCCTAAAGACACCAGGCGGGAACCGGAGAGCGCTGCTGGCGGTGATGGTCCTTCCCTGCCTGTCCCCATCACTGCCCCCTGCGTCTCTAGTGCCGAGCCAGGAGAGCCCCCCTGCATTACCTCTGCCGGCTTCCAGTTCCTGCTGCTGGACACGCCCGCCCAGCTCTGGTACTTTATGCTGCAGTATCTGCAGACCGCCCAGGTGAGGAGGCCTGGGCCCACCCCCCGCTCGCTCTGCCCAAGAGTCTGCCGCCCACACCGGTCTTCCCCTGCTCACACCTGCTTCCTCCTAGCTCTCTTCCTTGTCCCCCCTCCTCTCCCTAGAGCCGGGGCATGGACCTCGTGGAGATTCTCTCCTTCCTGTTCCAGCTCAGCTTCTCTACTCTGGGCAAGGTAAGCCAGGGGCCGAGGCGGGGAGGCGGGGGTGGCAGCAGGCTGTGGGCCGTGCAGCGAGAGCGTAAGAAGCAGAGTGCACGCCGGGTGACCAGACGTGGGGCAAGGAAGGAGGAGGAAGGGTGACGGGCTGGGCTGGGAAGGGTGCTGTGGACGCCGCCGACCACTGTCTTTTCCTCCAGGATTACTCTGTGGAGGGTATGAGTGACTCCCTGCTGAACTTCCTGCAACATCTGCGTGAATTTGGCCTCGTCTTCCAGAGAAAGGTGTGAGCACCCCGGCCCAGGCCTTCTAGGGAGGAAGCAGGGTGCTGTGTCGCCTTGGCCTGCGAGAAGAAGCGGGGGTTCCAGGGCAGAGGCTGGAAGCAGTTGGGTCCATTGGGGGAGAGGAGTTGGGCCTTGAGATTCTGTGTACAGGTGGGAGCTGACGTCTCAGAGCAGGAAGTGGGGCGGTGACACCTGACACAGGGCCTCTGCCTTTCCAGAGGAAGTCCCGGCGCTACTACCCCACGCGCCTGGCCATCAATCTCTCATCTGGCGTCTCTGGGGCTGGGGGCACTGTGCACCAGCCGGGCTTCATTGTTGTGGAAACCAACTACCGGCTGTATGCCTACACGGGTGAGGCTGGGCGAGGGCCCCTGGAGAGCAGGCTGGGAGGGTGCAGGAATGCGTCTGTGTTCACGGTCACTGGGCAGTGCATGGAGCTCTCGGCCACGTCTTGTCACACTGGAGGGACGTGCGTGCCCGGGAGCCGGGGCCTCACCCGCTTGTCCTCTCCCTGCGTCAGAGTCGGAGCTGCAGATCGCGCTGATCGCCCTCTTCTCCGAGATGCTCTATCGCTTCCCCAACATGGTGGTGGCGCAGGTGACCCGGGAGAGCGTGCAGCAGGCCATTGCCAGCGGCATCACGGCCCAGCAGGTATCCCCGGCACTGGGTCTGGGACAACAGGCAGTGGTGCGGTGTGTGAGCAGAGCGCTGGGCACGCGAGGCGAAGTCCAGCCTGCAGGAGTGGGAACGGGAAGACCCCTCGGGGGAGAACACAGAACACTGCCTGGCCGCAGGGGCTGGGCTTGCTCTCTCCTCCCTGATTCCTCTTCTGGTGAGTGACAGCTCTCACCTCCCTGGGCTGCTGGGAGCACTCAGCGGGAGAGCAGAGCTAAAGCATTAAGCTCAGAGCCTGCCTAGCAGTAAGTTGATCAAAAAGTAGTAGCTGTGGCTATTTTAAAGAAAAAAACAAGTTAATGGAAAGGGCAGACTGCAGACTTGACCAATAGAGAGGCTGTGGGCGGTGCAGTAAGGGTAACAACAGGTGAACAGGGGTGGGCGGAGCCGACAACAGGGAGGTGGCCCTGGGGCTTTCTAGAGAGAGCGGCTGTGCTCTGGCGACAGTAGGTTCAAGCCCTCTCGCCATTCTTGTCTGTTCTCAGATAATCCACTTCCTAAGGACAAGGGCCCACCCAGTGATGCTCAAACAGGTAAACACAGGCACCCTGGGCACTTGGCAGTGAGATGGCGGGAGAAGTCCCCCCAACCTGGGGACCAAGTGCAGGGCCAGTGTCCCTGAAACCCCTCAGCCAACCGTTGTCCCCGCAGACCCCCGTGCTGCCCCCCACCATCACGGACCAGATTCGCCTGTGGGAGCTGGAAAGGGACAGGCTGCGGTTCACGGAGGGTGAGTGGCACTGGGCACCGGCATGAGGGACGGCAGGCAGTTCAGCCTTGACGGGCTGAAGAGTTCTCCACGCATGTCACCTTGTGTTTCCTGCACGGAAAGCTGGCAGGCCACTTGATTTTGGGGCGAGCGGGCAGCAGTCAGTAGACGTCCCCAGTCAGGGCAGTCTGGATTTTGTGGGAGCTGGGCACACACTAGTGTCAGGCTGCCACGGGGGGACCCCCGCCTCACGTGCTCGCCCTCCGCTCCTGCGCACCCCAGGCGTCCTGTACAACCAGTTCCTGTCGCAAGTGGACTTCGAGCTGCTGCTGGCCCACGCGCGGGAGCTGGGCGTGCTGGTTTTCGAGAACTCGGCCAAGCGGCTCATGGTGGTGACCCCGGCCGGGCACAGCGACGTCAAGCGCTTCTGGAAGCGGCAGAAGCACAGCTCCTGACCGGACGCGGGCGGGCGGCGGGCGGGGCAGCCCCACAACTCAGGTGTTTTTTTTTTATTTATGCATCGGGACTTTTCTTGTTCAATAAAATCGTGAAAGTGAGCCCCTTGTCCCGCGCGCCTCTCTGCAAGCCTTCGCCTGTTCCCGGCGGCGAACTCGCTCCTCTCGCGCCGGCAGCCATTGGACGCGGCGGCGGTGGGGGGCGGGGCCGAGGGAGTGGCCGCGCACGCGCAGTGCGTGAGGGGCGGGCGGTCTCTGCGCGCAGCGTGATCGCCGGCCTGCTTCCAGGGCCGGCTTCGCTGGTGCCCCGCGTCCCTGCCGCCGCCGCGGGGCGCCCTGGGATAGCGGCGGGGTCGCTGGTGAGCGCGCGCCGGGGCGGCCCGGGGGAGGTGGGAGGGGCTGCGGGGCCGGGGCTCACGGGGAGGGGTGGCCGGGCCGCGCGGGCCGGGGACGCTGCGGGCGGAGACCGCGGTGGGCCCCCTAGGGCGGCTTGTAGGCGCTGCTGGCCATCGTCTCCCCGAATCCCCGAGTCTTGCCCCTCCGCCATGTCGCAGAGAGGCGTGGGCGCGGGGAGAGAGACTCAGACCTTGCCCGACACGAGCCCGGGTCTCCGGGGGCCAGGCCGCTGGCCCTGTCTATAACACGCGCTCTCGTCCACCGGCGGGAGGCGTGGTGTTGGAAAATACTTAGGAAAACTGGTGCGAGCGCGAGGCTTGCAGTGAGGGCTGGGGGCGTGGCCCGGGGGCTGTGCCGCTCCCCGATCCCCGCACCCTCTTCACGTGCGCCGTCTCTCCGGAACAGATCTTGACCCCTCTCCAGACAACTCCCGATGCCTCATTTGCCTCTGGCCTCTCTGAGACCCTCGCTCTGGGGTCTGAGGCCCCCACGGGGCCTCCGCAGCCTCCATCCCCTTTCTACACAGTCAGAGCCCCATCATGGACCTCCCGTCTCCCGGAGGAACCGAGAAGCCAAACAGAAGCGCCTGCGGGAGAGGCAGGCGGCGCTGGAGGCCGGGACAGCCGGGAAGGGCCAGGTTAGGGGTGGAGCACCTTGACCCTAGGCCCCTGAGAGGGGTGGGAGGGGGCTAGAGGAGGCTGGGCCGGGATTCCAAGCCCCTCCTGCTGCCTCCTTTCAGTCACCTGCAGAACCCAGGAAGGCCTGGAGCCCTAAGGAGGTGGTGCTGTATGAAGTCCCTACGGAGCCCGGGGAGAAGAAAGGTAACGGTGGCGTGCAGATTCGGCTCTCCCGCTGTCGCCAAGGTGCAGCCGGGAAGGAAGTTCAGGAGGTAGTGGAGCTCTCCTCTGCTTCCACAGATGTGTCGGGGCCCCTGCCTGCTGCCTACAGCCCTCGCTACGTCGAGGCTGCCTGGTACTCGTGGTGGGAGCGAGAGGGCTTCTTCAAACCAGAATATCAGGTGAATACCTGGGAGGGAGTGGTGCTCAGTGGTCCCTGAGCAGGACAGGAGCCTCTGAGTCCCGCTCGCCCCGTCCAGCTTGTCTGCTTCAAGCCTGTGGTGTCCTGCAGATTTCCCTTGGCAGGTTCCTCCTCCCTTCCCCGTCTTTCCTGTTAGCTGCAGGGCAGTTCCCTAAGATGCTGTCTGCCTTGAAGACGCCAGAGGGTGCTGTTCCCCCAGCGAACGGCCACCCTCTCTTGCCTTTGCCTCTGCCTCCTCCTAGGCCCAGATGCCCCAGACCACAGGGCAGACGTTTTCCATGTGTATCCCGCCCCCCAATGTCACTGGGTCCCTGCACATCGGCCACGCACTCACGGTGGCCATAGAGGATGCCCTCGTGCGCTGGTGAGAGGGGCGTTCCCGGAGGGGCTGTGGACCGTGGGCGGATGGGTGCCCAGGGCTCAGGCCAGGATGCTTCTGTTGCAGGCACCGCATGCGAGGGGATCGGGTGCTCTGGGTCCCTGGCTCCGATCACGCAGGAATTGCTACACAAGTAGGCCCTGTCCCCGCTCCCTTCTCGGGTGAAGACGGTCTCTTCCCCGCAGAGGAGCCTCATTCTGTACCTGCTCCTGATCCTGCAGGCTGTGGTGGAGAAGCGGCTGTGGACGGAGCGGGGAGTGAGGAGACACGAGCTGGGCCGGGAGGACTTCCTCAAGGCCGTGTGGCAGTGGAAGGCGGCGTGAGTGCCAGGCAGGGCTGCAGGGGCTGGGATGCTAGGCTGGGGCCCTGCTTCCCGTCGCTTACTCTCTTACCTTAGAGTTCTCACCTCGTCCCAGGGCGGCCCCACCCTCCCTGGGGACAGGCGCGCTGGAGCCCCTTAGCACGTGGTGGTGTCTGCAGGCCTCGTACGAGTGTGTGTGCACGCTGCGTGTCAGAATGTCTGCTCCTGTATGTGTGCGTACACGTGGACGCCTTTTCCTCTGCTCATCCCTTTCCCTCGCCTGGACTTCAGTGTCCTCACCTCCCCTGCTTGCGCATTCCCACCTGCCAGTCCCCGTGTGATCACCTCCGTGCCCCCACGCCGTGCTCGCCTGGCGCCTTCTCCACGCTGCTTTCTTGGACTTGCACGTTGGCTGCCGCCGCGCGGTGGATCCTGAGGGTGCTTATGCGTCTCTCGGTGTCACAGAAAGCCCCCTCCTGGGTCTGTCTCCATTAGCTTTATTTTTGACAGCGCCTGGCACTGCTGGGGGCATGGCTGGGCCCGGGGCCTGGGAGATGCTGACAGGGCTGTCTGGGCACAGGAAAGGTGGCGAGATCTGTGAGCAGCTGCGTGCTCTGGGCGCCTCCCTGGACTGGGACCGAGAGTGCTTTACCATGGATGCCGTGAGTGTCCCACACGTGTCCCTGGGGGTTGTGGGTGTTTGGAGGTCTTCAGACGTGGGAGCTGGGGACGCCTGGGTCCCGGGATGGGCGATGGGCTGAGGAGGGCTTTTGAGGAGGACACTCAGGTCATTCCAGGGCTTCTCGGTGGCTGTGACCGAAGCTTTCGTGCGGCTCTACGAGGCAGGGTTGCTGTACCGAGGCCGTCAGCTCGTCAACTGGTCGTGCGCCTTACGATCAGCCATCTCTGATATTGAGGTGAGACGGGGAGAGGAGCAGGTGGTGAGAACTCCCAGGCAGGATCATGGAGCGGTTAAGATTCCAGGGGCGGACTGCTTGGATTTGAACCTGAGTGCTGCCACCCACGGCCGAGTGGCTTTGGGCCGGCTGTTCAGTCTGTTTGAGCCTCAGCTTCCTCGGTCCGTAAGTTAGAGATGATGGCTCGCATGTGTTCGTTCCTGACTGTGTCTAAGTGCCTACGGAACACTTGCTCTTCCGGTGGGGTGGGGGAGGGGCGGCGGCGGAGGTGGCTCCTGAGCGATCTGGATGTGACCAGTGTAGATGTGGCTGTGAGCTTTGCAGAGAGGCTGCTGTGTCACCCGGCCTCTCTGACCCCTCCAGGTGGACAGCCGGGCCTTGCCTGGCCGCACCGAGCTGCAGCTGCCTGGCTGCCCCAGCCCTGTGTCTTTTGGCCTGCTCTTTTCTGTTGCCTTCCCCGTGGATGGAGAACCTGGTGAGTGAGGCTCGCCCGGGCGGCCGCTGTTGATTGGCACCTGTCTGTGTCCCACGGAACCTTGGCAGCGGGTGTGAGGTCCTGGGCACTTAGCTTGGGTGTCCCAGGAGAGGCAGGAACGACACACCTGGTTGGCGCCCTTTGGGAGCTTAGTGTAGTTCTGCAGGCGTGTGCTACCCGGGAGAGACGGCCGGTGCTAGCCCGTGTGCTCTGGGCACCCAGCAGAGTTCTCTTCCGTGCTTGTCCTGTGCGTGTCATCTAGGCGTTCCTTGGCACCGCTGCCTCTCGAGCCTCTGGTCATGAGCTTCAGGAAAGCCCGAGTCACCCGAGGGCCTGCTCCGTCCTGCGAGGGTGGTGGCCGGCCCTGAGCACCTGAATGTTTCTCTCCAGACGCCGAGGTTGTGGTGGGAACCACAAGGCCGGAGACGTTGCCCGGAGACGTGGCCGTGGCTGTTCATCCCGACGACTCCCGATACACAGTAAACACAGAGCGGGCTCCCCGTGACCATCGTCCCCAACTCCCAACTTCTACCCTGCCAGCTCCTGCTTTCCCGCTTCTGCATTTTCCTGAGGCCTTCTGCGTCTCGGCTCTGCCTCTGGCTCTGATGCTGCTCCCTCCTCTTCCTGGTGACTCTCTAGCTCAGTGGGTAACCAGCTGTGACCCGTACACCAGACCCAGCCCGGTGCCTGCTTCTGAGTGAGCTGTGCTCATTAGTTTGTGCCATCTACGGCTGCTGTTATCTATGTAATCTTTTTGACTTTTAATTCCATTAATGATTGCTTCGTTCATTCAAAAGGCAGAGCAACGGGGAGAGAGATTGTTAGATTTTTTGCCTTCACCTGGTTCACTCCTCAGATGGCTACAATAGCCGGGGCCGGGCCAGGCTGAAGCCAGGAACTCGATTCGGGTCTCCCACATGAGTGACAAGGACCCAAGCACCTAGGCCCTCCTCTGCTGCCTTCCCAGGTGCATTAGCAGGGAGCTGGATTGGAAGTGGGGCAGGTGTTGAGAGCGCTGGCGGAACCCGCGGAGCCCCACTCACCTGTACTCTTTAACTGGTGTGGTAGCAGAGTGGAGTAATTACGCGGAGGCTGGATTTGTCTCTTGGTCCCAAAGCCTGAAATATTTCCCTTCTGGCCCCTTAAGGAAAATTTTACTGACCCGATTGTAGCTCTTTACCTTCCGGTTTCCACCTCCTGTACCCAGGGTTCTCACACCCCAGCCCAGACCTCTCACCCCCCACACAGGCTGGCCCTGAGCCTTCTTCCCTCCCTCCAGCACCTGCACGGGCGACGGCTTCGTCACCCCTTGACCGGAGAGCTTCTGCCGCTCATCACCGACCCTGCGGTTCAGCTGCACGTGGGCACCGGTGAGTGCAGGTCAGGCGCTGGCGGGGGGAGAAAGTGTGCACGGAGAGGGGGGGAACTGGGAGGAGGAGGAGAGGGTGGGAGGATGTCTGAGCAGGTAGTGGGGCAGGAAGGGAGGCAGAGACAGAGGAGAGGGGCGTGGAGGGGTGGGCCATGAGCACGCATCGGGAACCGCACACGCCAGGCTCAGTTCCCGCGCTCATCACCGGTGTGCTTCCCCAGGGGCAGTGAAGGTGACGCCAGCCCACAGTCCCGCCGACACCGAGATGGGCGCCCGGCATGGCTTGAGCGCCCCGAGTGTCATCGCGGAGGACGGGACCATGACCCCCCTCTGCGGGGACTGGCTGCAGGTGGTACCTGCCTGAGAGCTGCCCCACCCTTTGGGGGAGGGGCGCCTCTGCCCTCCTCCCCTCTCCCACGTGAGGCCTTCATCTCAGCAACTGCCACTTCCTCTCCAAGGGTCTTCACCGCTTTGTGGCCCGGGAAAAGATTGTGTGTGCGCTGCGGGAGCGGGGCCTGCTCCGCGGCCTCCAGAGCCACGCCATGGTGCTGCCCATCTGCAGGTACCCCCCCACCCTGAAGAGAATGGCGCAGCCTCGGAGTGGCAGTGGGAAGGGAGTGCAAGCCCCGGGGGGAGGCACAGGGCCTGGGGGGGGGGGGGCTCCAGGCCCAGCGCGTCCCCCTTTCAGCCGGTCCGGGGACGTGGTGGAATACCTGCTCAAGAGCCAGTGGTTTGTCCGCTGCCGGGAGATGGCCGACCGAGCTGCCAAGGTGAGGCTGCCTGCAGGAGGGCCCCTGGGAACTGGAGTGGAGAAGCTGGGGAAGCTGAGGGGAGCTGTGGGGGCGGGGACAGGCTGCCTCGGCCCCCCCACTCAAGCCCAGACTCTTCCCAGGAGGCTTGGGAGTCCCTTTCTGAGTCTTACGGCCGCCTCAGAGGCCGCCCATCCCAGCGCCGGCGGGTGGGTGGCTGCGGGAAGGGAAGCCTGGCTGAAGGCCCTCTCCCTGCAGGCCGTGGAGTCCGGGGCCCTGGAGCTCTGGCCTGCCTTCCACCGGAAGAACTGGCAGCACTGGTTTGCCCACATCGGGTAAGGGTGGAGGGAGCGGCCATGGAGATGGGGTGGTGGTGGAGGAATCCCTGGTCATGCCGAGGTGTCACGGCTGTCCTCCCGGCAGGGACTGGTGTGTCTCCCGGCAGCTGTGGTGGGGCCATCAGATTCCAGCCTACCAGGTCATGGAGGAGCACGCCAGGGTCGGTAGGAGGAAGCTGGCGGGAGGGCTGGTGGCTGGGCTCAGCGGGAGGGCCTCCACCCTTTCCTTTTGGAGCTGCCCTTGGTGCTCTGTTATGTAACCTGGGTGACTGCGGGGCGGAGCCCGAGGGGCTGCAGCTCACCAACCCCACCCAGGGGCTGCCATGCTGAGACCATGTGCAAGCCAGCGGGCGCCTACCCCTGGTGGTTCGGTCTCCTCACTGCCTAACCTGTGGCTTTTGCAGGGTGACGGGCAGGACTGTTGGGTGGTCGGGCGGTCAGAGGCCGAGGCCAGAGCGCTGGCAGCAGCCCTGACCGGGAGACCGGGGGCGGAGCTGACTCTGGAGAGGGGTGAGTGCCTGGGTCTTTGAGGGGCGCGGATACTGAGCTGGGGGGAGCTGGGGCTGGAGCGGAAGGTGAGCTCGCTGGGCCCTGCGCATCCGAGGTCCAGCCGTCCCCCTTGCCTGCTGTCTTTCCCAGACCCTGATGTCCTGGACACGTGGTTCTCTTCGGCGCTCTTCCCCTTTTCTGCCCTGGGCTGGCCCCAGGAGGTGAGTGGGCCGGGAGGGAGAGCCTGGAGGTGGGGTGAAGAGGGAGGAGGAGGGCTGGGCCCCTGAGGCTCAGGAAGAGCTGAGGCTGGGGCTCGGCCTCTGACCGCCTGTCTCTTCCTTCCAGACCCCAGACCTGGCTCGCTTCTACCCCCTGTCGCTTCTGGAAACGGGCAGTGACCTTCTGCTGTTCTGGGTGGGCCGCATGGTCATGCTGGGCACTCAGCTCACAGGGCAGCTCCCCTTCAGCAAGGTGCCAGCCCCGCCTCCCGGCTTCCTACACTGGGGTTCTGATTCCCTTCCCACCCTAACCCCTTCCTGTATGGAAGCCCGAGAACCCAAGGGACCCTCCAAGGCACGGCTTGCCCAGCCCCCTCAGCTGACCCCGTTCTTGCCCCCCCCCCCAGGTGCTTCTTCACTCCATGGTTCGGGACAGGCAGGGCCGGAAGATGAGCAAGTCCCTGGGGAATGTGCTGGACCCACGGGACATCATCAGCGGAGTGGGGCTGCAGGTGAGGACCAGGGCTCTGGCTTGAGAGGTGGGGGCGTGTAGGGAGAGGAGCAGGCTGGGGGACAGCCCGTGACCCTCGTGGAGGCGGGGCGCCCGCCGGGGCCAGTGACTTCCTTCCCAACCCCAGGTGCTGCAGGAGAAGCTGAGAGATGGGAACTTGGACCCCGGGGAGCTGGCCTTTGCAGCCGCAGCGCAGGTGGGGCTGCCCCTCCTCTGGAACCCCGGTGTAGGCCCTGTGGCTGCCTAAGCGCTGCCACCCTTCTTCGTCTGATTGCAGAAAAAGGACTTCCCTCACGGGATCCCCGAGTGTGGGACGGATGCCCTGCGCTTCACGCTGTGTTCCCACGGGGGCCTGGGTAAGCTCCCCTGAGAGGTGCGGGGGGGGGGGGGCAGGGCGGGGGGAGCCGAGGCCGCCCCCTGTTGTGCAGGGGTCGCAGCGGGAGCCCGGACTTCCCATGCCGCCGCCCATGCACAGACCCCCTGCTCTCCCCTTCAGGGGGCGACTTGCACCTGTCTGTCTCTGAGGTCCTGAGCTGCCGCCATTTCTGCAACAAGATCTGGAACGCCCTGCGCTTTATCCTCAATGTCCTGGGGGAGAAATTCACCCCCCAGCCCGTGGAGGAGGTAACAGGAAAGCTGGGGGCTGGAGGGGCGGGTGATCGTAGGCCTGTGGGCTGGAGAAGGGAGGCAGGGGCGGGGGCGTCGGGCCCCTCAGCGCTGCCGCCCGCCCTGCCACAGCTGTGCCCCTCCTCGCCCATGGACGCCTGGATCCTGAGCCGCCTCGCCGGCGCCGCACAGGAGTGTGAGCGCGGCTTCCTCACGCGGGAGCTCTCGCTCGCCACCCGCGCCCTGCACCACTTCTGGCTCCACAGCCTCTGCGACGTCTACCTCGTAAGTGGGTGTTTCCGCCTCGGTCCGCTGCTTCCAGCTCGCCTTGAAATGGGGCCCTGGGCAGAGCGCGCCTGAGTGCTCCACAGTGACTGTGTGTGCGCGCATGCGCGATCAGGAAAAGACCGGCGACGTCTCAGTCCCCTCTTCCAGGCACTGTTGGCTCCCCGTCACCTGGGGAGATGGGGGACGGGCTTCTGGAAAGCAGTGCGACAGTGTCAGGTTGGAAGGCACCGTCTGGATGGGTGCTGTGCGGGGCCTGCCGAGGAGAGAGCAGCGCTCTGGAGAGCAGGGCTTCTCACACGGGCCTGCGGCAGAATCACCCAGAGGGACCATCGCTGGCGACTGCCCCCCCCCCCCCCCCCCACCAGGGCAGCCCAGGCAGCCCTGAGAACGTTCACTTCTTGTCCCTGGTGACCCGGATGCCACTGGCTCTGGGCCGTCGCCTTGGCTTACCGGATCTCCATCATATTAAAAACCCTGTCCCCTTTGATAAGTAAAACATACGCGTTTTTCCTAAATTGCACATGCCTCTGGAAATCTGATTCTCACTTCCCTCTGGGTGTCGCTGCCCCAAACTTTCCCTCCTGGTGTGTTGGGGGTGTGTTGTCCATTCCCTCCCTCTAGGACCTGCCCCCTGGACCTGGCGCACCACACTGGCAGGGCAGCCACGCAGGGGGAAGGGTGTGGCCGTGGCCCCCTCTGACCGGCTGGCTCTCTCTTTAGGAGGCCGTGAAGCCCCTACTGTCACACTCGCCCCGGCCGCAGGGGCCCCCTCAGGTCCTGTTCTCCTGCGCTGACCTGGGGCTCCGCCTCCTCGCCCCGCTAATGCCCTTCCTGGCCGAGGAGCTCTGGCAGAGGCTGCCCCCCAGGCCTGGCGGCCCGCCTGCCCCCAGCATCTCCGTGGCCCCCTACCCCAGTGGCCACAGCCTGGTGAGTGATGCGCACCGTACATGGGGCAGGGCTGCGGGTGGAGGGTCTGGGGCTGGGAGGTCGTTGTCTGGTGGTTTGTGCCCTGCTGTCAGCCAGCGGGAGGGCGGGGTGCTCCTGCAGGGTCGCTGGGGTCACTCCAGGGCCTTGGGGGCAGTGTCAGCCGAGGGGTCTCCATTGCTACAGTGGTGCTTAGCGCCTGTGTGACTGCCTCGGTTTGTCCCGTCTGCAAACAGGGAGCAGTGGGAGTCCGTGTCATGGCTGTGACAGGTCAGGGGAATTAGTAGCAGGGTGCCCCAGAAATCTCAGTGTGGCTTTGATCCCTGCAGGATACACACTGTCAAGGCTCCCTAGTGTTATTGGGAGTTACAACTGTTGACCTTTCTTTTATACTTACTTGGCTTGGTGAATTTGGAATGATACATTTTAAATTTGAATTTAGTGTGGTTGTCAGACTGTGTTCGGTCAGAGCAACTGAGCAGACAGCCACTGCCGCACACCAAACCTGCTTAGAGGACTCCCTGACCCCTCCCATGTGGCCATGGCCCTTGGTTGCCCCTGGTGTGTGGGTCGAGGACTGACCGTGGCCCCGAGGAGGCGGGGGATGGGCCGAGGGCAGGGCCAGGAGAATGGCCACCATGTCTCCCAGGAGCCCCTTGGCCAACTCTGGGCCCGTCCCCCTGCCCCCAGGAGCACTGGCGCCAGCCCGAGCTAGAGCGGCGCTTCTCCCACGTCCAGGAGGCCGTGCAGGCGCTCCGGGGGCTCCGTGCCACGTACCAGCTCACCAAAGCCCGGCCCCGAGGTGAGGCGGGTCCCCGCCCCTGGCTGCCTGCAGGAAGGAGGGGCTGCAGGCGAAGATGGGCCCGGAGTGCAGGGGAGGCGGGTGCCGGTGCTGGGCCCTGACACTTTGCCTGCCTTCCCAGTGCTGCTGCACAGCTCGGAGCCTGAAGAGCGGGGCCTCTTCCAGGCCTTCCTGGAGCCCCTGGGCACCCTGGCTCACTGTGGAGCCGTAGCCCTCCTGCCCCCAGGTGCCGCAGCTCCCTCTGGCTGGGCCCAGGCCCCTCTTGGTGACACTGTTCAGGTCTACATGGAGCTGCAGGTGACCCAGGGGACTAGGGTGTGCGGTGGGGGGAGGGGGCACTGGGAAGAAAGGGTGGGGCAGGGTCTGCGAGGGCGGAGGAGGGGCCTTCCGATGGCCAGGAGAGGCCTGGGTGGGCTTCAGCTGTCCCAGCCTCTGCCTGGTCTTCCCTAGGGCCTGGTAGACCCTGGGGCCCATCTACCTCTGCTGGCCGCCCGAAGGCACAAGCTGCAGAAACAGCTTGATGGCCTCACAGCCCAGACCCCGTCAGAAGGGGAGGCAGAGACCCAGAGGCAGCAACGGGTGAGGCTTGGGGAGGCCACCCTGGGAGCTGACTCCCGCGGGAATGGGGCTTACAGGGTGCTCACCTGCTTCTCGCCTCCCCCAGCTTTCTTCCCTCCGGTTGGAACTGGCGAAGCTGGACCAGGCGGCCTCTCACCTCCGGCAGCTGATGCCAGAGACGCCCAGCTCCCGGAGCGCTGGGCCCTAAGTCACCTCCCAGACCTGCCCTCGGGGGCAGACGGATTTGTCCACTGCCGGGGGACCTCACAGACTGTGGTCCTGTCTCCTCATCTTGTGAACGGGAAGCAGGCTGCCGGGTCAGGGTGGCCGTGAGCTCCCTGAGCTGTCGCGTCCCTGCCCAGCCTCTCCTAAGTGCAGGAGTGAGGAGAGTCAGATAAAACTTTGAAAACCTCCATCATGTCTGCCTGTGGTCCTTTTATCCCCTCTGCTCAGCCGTGACCCCTGTGCCTCTGTGGGTCTTCCCCTGGGAGCCTGGCCCAGGGGAACAGGAGGCTGCCTCTTAGCTTCAGGCCCTCGGCCGCGCGGGGTGTGGTGCTGGGCTGTGCCTGCCCCGTGGCAGGAAGGAAGTGCTTTCTAGTGAGGCTGGGCATGGGCGCGTGACCCGGGCTCCACCTGCTTCTGGGATTTGCTGACGATGCCCCAGTGCTGCAGGCGCTTCTGCCTCTGTTGCTCACCGGACCAAAGCTTCTCTGCTTCCCATCCCCGTCCCTGTCCCCGTCCCCGGAGGTGCTGAGAGAAGCAGGGACTCCCTCCACGAGGAGGACTCCCTCCATGAGGAGGACTCCCTCCACGAGGAGGACTCCCTCCATGAGGAGGACTCTGGGCGGGCGCACCGGACTTGTGTGCTGTGCCGCCATCTGTGCACCTGAGATCTGAGTGCCAGAGACGCCGCCCAGCTCCCGACGGAGCTGCACACTCGCCTGCCTGCCCCAAACACCTCGTCTCACTCTGGTGGCGTTCAGGGGCTGACCTCGCCGTGCCCAAGTTAACATCCTGTCCAGAGCTCTCAGTAGCTCTTCTGGACGGAGCCACCCTGGGCTGGGTTCCCCGTGTCCTGGGGGTCAGTGCCATTTAATCCTACCAGGGGCCTCTCGAGGTGGGTGTCAGCTCCAATAGAGATTGAGAAAGAAGCTCGGAGAGGTAGCAGCTGGGATTTACCCAATTTCACTTGGTAAATGAGGTGCAGGATCTTTCTGGCAGCTGTAACGGAACTTCAGAGATAATGCTCTTAGATACGATGTGTTGCTTTGTTTGGCTGGGCATAAGCAGTGCAAGGCTCTGAGTAGTGGGCCCCCATGCACACCCCCTTAATCCCTCTGGGCCCATGGTCTGTAGCTCTGGCCACCCTGTCTGCAGTCCCACGTAGAAGGAGGAGGAGAGGAAAGGGAGTGGACAGTTCTCCCCCAAGGTCAACAGGTATTTCTAGAACACTTGCTATGTGCTGTGCCCTGTTCCAGACACTTGGATTCATCAGTGATTGAAACAAAGTTCTCTGCCTTCTGCCCCTGTGGTACTTTCATTCTTGCAAGCGTGCTCAGAAATAACCTACAAATAAATAAACGACATACAGTCGTCCCCCCCCATATCCGCAGGACCTCCGTGGGTACTAGATCTTTAGACACGTACATAAAGTGGCATAGCATTTGCCTATGGCCTGCTTACGTCTTCCTGTATAGATATAAAGTTAAAAAATTAAAATTTATTTTTGCTTGAGAAGCAGAAAGAGAGATGGAGAGAGAGATCTTCCATTCGCTGGTTCATTCCTCAAATGCCCACAATAGCCGGGGTTGGGCCAGGCTGAAGCCAGGAGCCTGGAACTTAGTAGGCATCTCCTTTGTGGTGGCAGGGACCCACGTTCTGGTCAGATCACCTCGAGATCACTGACTAGTGCCGAGTGAGGGGAGTTCAGCTGGGTTGGTAAGGAAACAGTGACAAGCTGTACATGTTCAGTAGAGTCTTTTTTTCCCCTAATATTTTCCATCCATGGTTGCTACAATCTGTAGGTGCAGAAAACGCTGAGGGCCAGGTCACAACTGCTGGGGGGAAGAGAAGGGTAGAACAGTGTAAGGGAACTTGACAGGGGGAGTAGGGGGGTAGGGGGCAGGTTGTGGTATCTAACAGGGGTCAGGGGAGAACCCATTGTAAAAAGATGAGGTTTAATCAGGCCGATGTGGTGGCGTGGTAGGCTAAGCCTTGGTCTGCAGTGCCGGCATCTCATATGGGTACCAGTTTGTGTCCTGGCTGCTCCTCTTCCGATCCAGCTCTCTGGCGTGGCCTGGGAAAGCAGTGGAAGATGGCCCAAATGCTTGGGCCCCTGCACCCATGTGGGAGACCCAGATCCTGGCTTCAGATTGGCCCAGCTCTGGTTGTCACAGCCATTTGGGGAGTGAACCAGTGGATAGAAGACCTTTCTCTCTGTCTCTCCCTCTGTCTGTAACTCTGCCTCTCAAATGAACAAATGAAATTAAAAAGAAAAAAGGAGGGTTAAGCAAAGGCTGTGGGAGGCGCAGAAGTAGCCAGCTACTGTCTGGGAGGAGAGCTGCCTGTAGAGCGAGGCTGAGATGGAGCAGCAAGCAGGCCGGTGTGGGTGGCCGAGGGAGGGAGGGAGGGGGGACGGGGAGGATGTAAGGGTGAGGAGTGGGAGGGGGGATGGGGAGGCTCCTCTAGGACTGTGCTAAGATGATCGTTTAAAGAAAATGAAACGTTGAGTGCCTTAGCCACACTGCCCACACCCAGCGTCCGATGGCCACGTGTGGCCAGCACAGTTACAAAGTCTTCCCATCATCACGGAAAGTTCCATCGGAAGGCACTCGTTTAAGACCCTGTAGCTGGTTTAAGGACTTGGGCTTCTGTCCCCTGCAAGGGAAGCTCTTTTCCTTCCTAGGCAGCTGCACACTTCTTTCTACTTGCTTCCTGCCACCCACAGCCTAATCACGTGGCCACACCTAGCTGCAAGGGAGGCTGGGACATGCAATGGGCCATGTGCTCAGCGGGAACTTAGAAGGCTATCCAAAAGGAAGAGAATGGCACTCAGGGGACTGATGAGCCCCCAGCTCTGCCAGCCCCCAGCTCTGGTGAAACCCAAAGCATGAGTCTTGGAAGACAGTTCTTTGAGAAAAGAATCCGGAAACGACCCCGTAGTGATCTCAGGCCTTGAGATCTAGGAACCAGGGTGAGGAGCAGTCAGTTCTCTGCTCCCCCAGCCTCGTGGGGATCCAGGCATCCAGTCCTCAACTTGTCTGGAGGTCTAGAGAGCTTGACCTGTGGCTGTCACCCACCCATTTGTTTCCCTGGGGGCTCCCGGCTACCTGTCCTCAGGGCTAACGAGCAGTCTCCCACGTTCTTGTCCACTTTCTGTGCTCCCCCTTGTCTTCAGGGGCGTGCCTAATGAACCCTCGCTCCCTCCACTTCTCTGAAGGAATAGCCTGTAACTTCGTGCGGTGGTGGTGGTCGCTGAGGGGGTCTGGTAGGCAGGGGCAGGTGCCGCGGAGAACAGAAGGCGATGGATCATAGCAGCAGCAGGTCACTGGTTCTGCAGGTTTATTGGCACTCAGGAGGGCAAGGACCTGATGGAACACAGGGCCGGGGCTCCCACACCTTGGCTGAGAGGGGCACAGGCTCTGGGGGCACTCAGGTTCTGCAGATGGTGTGGCGAGGGGGTCCTGCGTGATGGAGGGTGATGTTGGTCCCCGGTGGGAGCCGGAGGAGGAGGCAGAGCTGGCAACAGAGAGGCTGGTGGGTGAAGTGCTGGCTGGCTCCCCGCTCCCACCCTGGGCCGGCCCTGACGTGGAGACACGCGGCCCCGTGCCCTCCCCTCCCGCAGAACTACCTCCTCAAGCCGTGCGGGGAAGCCGGAGTCGTAGGAGCCGTTTGCCAGGGAAGACTCTTTCAGTTTCAGCCGCAAAGTCAGACCTGGGCCTGGGACACAGAAGTGCAGCTTAACACCCGGCGATCGGGGCTGGGTTCCCCCAGGGCCCCAGGAACTGTCCTGCCCCAGGTTCACTGCACCCCCCGCCAGTCCCGCTGCCTCCGCAGCCCCTGGGCAGCACCGCTCAGATGCAGGGGTGCAGCGGCGAATCCTCAGGAGCACAGCCCTGGAGCGCCTCCCGCTCCCTTCTCTGGCCTCTCCTTGCGCTGAGGACCCAGGCGTGCCCCCTCCAGCCCTCACCCGTTCCGTCAGCGCTGCTGAGGAGGCTCAGGAGGAGGAAGAGGGGCAGCCCGCGCCCCATGGTGGCCACCTTCCTTCTCGGTGAGCCCAGAGAGATCGGAAGCCTGGGTGGCCAGGCTTTCTCCTCCCCATCGGCCCTTAGCAGAGGAGTCTGGGGGAACTGGTGGGGGTCGGGGCGCGGGGCCATGGCGGGCAACCGGACTTTCAGGTTCTCCCAGGCTGGTTTTGAGTGCAGGGAGAGAGCTGTTTGCTGGGCTCTTGGGGAAAGTAAAGGGGGCCCCCTCTGTTTACTCAATTCTGTGTCCACCCTTCTCCAAGGCACTCCAAGAGGGGTGGTGCCTGGTCCTGTGGGGAGGGAAGCAGAAAGAGAAGTGGGGACCAGGGAGGGGTCCTGCCCACTGGCGTTTGGACCCCACCCAGGCCTGGGCCTCTTGTGGCTCTTTGGGGATTAATTATTAACTGCTATTAATTTTCAGCATTCTTGCCACCCAAGGGCTCAGGAATGTGGGCCCAAAAGGGAGGGGTGCTTTACACCAAACCCAGGTGTCGTGGCCTCCCCCACCCCCACCCCAGCCTCAGTGGCTCTCCAGGCGACAGAGCTGGCTTGTGGGCGCTTTCATCTTTGCCTACTTCGCCACACAGGTGCAGGCCTGGGTTTCATTCACTCTCCTGGGCCCCTGCCCGGCACGCACACTCCCTACATGTGGGCAAGCTCAGAGCGAGTCTGGGACCCATTGAGTTGTTTGCTGCCCAGAGAGGGTCAGCCGCACAGACACAGGAACCCAGCCTCAGGATGCCACATGGGTGTTCAGCAGAGGGTCCCTCGGTTCCCGAGAGCTGCTTGATGGAGCCCCCCACCCCCACCCCCGGGACCTGCACCACTTCCTCCCTCTTCCCTGAGCACCGTCTCCCTCCCCCAGACCCAGTGACACTGAATGAGGAGGGAGGGACCCCGGCAGTGGTGGGGTGGGGTGGGGTCGTCGAGGAGGGGTACCAGGCAAGTCAGGGAGAGAAACCAAAAGCAAAGGCAGGGAGTTGGGGGCAGCACCTGCAGCCTGGATGTCAAGTGAGACGACTGGAGAGCCCCAGGCTTGGCTAAGAGGACAGGGAGGCCACAGTGGTGGGGAGATGGGCCAGAAGCGCTGCAGAGCCAGGAGGCCGAGGCAGGGTGAGGGCAGCGGCTGGCCTATGAGAACAGTGGGAGCTCCCCCACCTGTTTCCTCGCTGGCGCCGCCCACTCTGTAACCATGGCCGCTGCGGCCATGTGCCAGGCTCCTTACCAATGGGACTTCCGCTACTGCCCAGGAAGACCCTTCAGGTCCCTTCACAAGTGCAGAAATGCAGATGTGGCCAGCACCGGCCCGAGAACACACAGCCCTGCGCAGAGCTTTGGGCATCTGGGAGTCTGCACTGTCCTCGAGCCCTCTTCTGCCCTCACCGCTCCCTGCCAAGGAAAGCTTTGTGGGCTGCAGCGTCCAGGTAGGAGATTGGCTCGGGCGTCCAGCACCCCCTGTCCAGCCCCAGCTCTCCTGTAGCTCAGGTGCACAGACTTCAGGCCTGACCATCTCCCCCCAAGCCCAGCTCCAAATGCTGCTTCCTCAAGGGCCCGCATGTCCCAGTCCCCAGCGGTTGTCTTAGCAGAAGGACGATCTTGGGGGAGGACAGCAGGGTCTCCCTGTTCCGAGCACTGGCTCAGACCCGGGGAGTGGGGCCCCTGTCTGAGAAAAGCCCAAGGGCCAGGTGGGGGAGTCCTCAGACTCTTACTCATTCTCCTCGCTGGTGCTTCCTGGGATCAGGCTGGGACAGCTTAATCCCTGAGGACGGCTTGGTGGCCTCTCCCTGGGGATGGCGATCCTCTTGTTGATGGAAGCCCTGGCACGCCTGGCTTTCCCGGGACTCGTAATAGGCTCCGGACCCTTTAAAAAGCTGGGGCGATGAGCCTGGCCAGGCACATCCACCAGCACCATGGACGCCACGCTAGCGCTGCTCCTGGGCCTGCAGGCCTTGGCTGTACACGGTCAGACGTGGGCTCGGACGGGAGGTCTGGGGTGGGGATGAGGACGTGGCACCCGGGAAGACAGTCGGCTCTTGTAACCCCATGCTGTTTTTTCTTCTTTGCCAACAGCACAACTGATCCCAGGGGAGAACTTTGATGCAGTATCTGGATACCTCCCCTCCGTCTCTGGGGGTGTCCCCTCCATCTCTGGGGGTGTCCCCTCCATCTCTGGGGGTCTCCCCGTCTCTGGGGGTGTCCCCTCCATCTCTGGAGGTCTCTCCTCTGCCTCTGGGGGTGTCCCCTCCATCTCTGGGGGTCTCCCCTCTGCCTCTGGGGGTGTCCCCTCCATCTCTGGGGGTCTCCCCTCTGTCTCTGGGGGTCTCCCTTCCACCTCTGGGAGTGTCTCCTCCGTCTCTGGGGATCTCCCCTCTGTCTCTGGGAGCCTCCCCACTGTGTCTGGAGGTCTCCCCTCCGCATCTGGGGGTCTCCCCTCCGTCTCTGGGGGCCTCCCCTCTGTCTCTGGAGGTCTCCCCTCCATCTCTGGGGGCCTCCCCTCTGTCTCTGGGGGTGTCCCCTCCATCTCTGGGGGTGTTCCCTCCGTCTCTGGGGGCCTCCCCTCCGTCTCTGGAGGTCTCCCCTCCACCTCTGGGGGCCTCCCCTCTGTCTCTGGAGGTCTCCCCTCCACCTCTGGAGGTCTCCCCTCTGTCTCTGGGAGCCTCCCCACTGTGTCTGGGGGTCTCCCCTCCATCTCTGGAAGCTTCCCAACAGTTTCTCCCCCCTCCGTGGCACCAGGTGAGATTTCTGTCGCCCTGTCTGTCTCCAGAGAGCCGTGGGGCCCGTAGCTCAGGTCGGGGCTGCCTGTGCCAAGTGAGAGCCCTGAAGTTTCCTGGGTGTCACCGGGCGGCTTCCTCGCGTGGCTGCCCAAGGGTCCCTCCTTCTGGTTTTCAGTCGATTGACCTTTGTTCCCACCTGAGGTTTTTTTTCTTTCTTTTTTTGCCTACTTTGAGGTCATGACAATATTCCCCATTCCAGAAACTTCATCCACTTAGCTTCTGACTCATCCTAGGTTCTGTGTGTGCAGTGAGGCAGAGGTCAAAGTGCACTTTCCCCCCTTATAGATATCCTGTTAGGCCAGACCCGTTTATTTCAAAGACCCAAGGACCTTCCTGGTGTGGGTCCCGTTCTGGGCTGCGATCTCTGCTTCTGTTTGTCAGCTCTCCCCGGTGCCCGGCGCTTGGCGGCTGCCTGGGAGCCAGCCTGCGGTCTGAGGCTGGGCGCCCTCCACTTTTGCCTTTCCTTCACATCGTCTTGGCTAAGCTCAGGCCTTCGGTTTTCAGGGAATCCGTTTATCAGTTTCTACCAAGAACTCACTGGGCCTTGGCTGTGATTCCCCCTTGCTCTGGTGTGCGTCTCTTCCAGCCACTTCCCTCTCTGCCCTCCTAGGAACTATCTCCCCCATCACGGCCCCTGGCGGTGCTCCGACAGTGCCTGGGACATCTGGATCCAATGTGGCTGGGCCAGCTACGGGAGTGCCCACCTCCTCCCCCGGGCTCAGCCCCGGGACAGGTGAGGTGCTCTTCCGTTCAGGCCTTGCTTAGTGATGGGGACACGCCGTGAGAACCCTGTAGGTGATTCCATCGTTGTAAGACTTGTCTTAGAGTGGCTTGCACGAGGCTGGATGGGGTAGGGCAATCCCTCAACGTGACCTCCGGACGCAGCTGGAGACGTGCGGGTGGAGGGCTGCTCCTGGGGTGACGGGACATGGTGTTCTACAGCAAACTTCCTTCTTACGAGTAGGAGCGCCCTTTACAATAATGACAGAAAGCATAGCACAGTAAATGTCTAGACCGGTCCCTTAGCCATTGACCATCACTGTCAAGTGCTGGGTCCCGTGCGTAGCTGTATGTACTCTGCTTTCACGCAAGTGTCTACCCCGGCGTCACCACCGTGGAATGCCCAGTGCTGTGATGTTATGACAGGCCCACAAGGTTGCTGAGGTGACAGGAGTGTTCCTGGTAATCTCAGAGGACCACCCTCGTGCCTAGGGCCCACCATCACCCAAGATGCCATCATGTGACCCGGCACGTGTTTGTGTGGTCATTTACCAGGGAGATGGTGGAAGGGCCGGTTCTCTTCTGCTCTCCATCACCCTCCCCTGCCCCTGGGAGGGCTACAGGGGCAGTCATGCTTCCAAAAGTGGCTTGGGTCTTTGGGAGGTGTCTCTGTGTCTTAAGGGGGTTGTGCTGGCCTCTTGGGCTGGTCAGACCAACAGCCAGATGTCTGGTACCAGATCACCTCCTCGAATGGTTTTCATCTTTCTCTTGGTGGCCCAATCCGTCTGTCCAGAGCAGGAGGCATCCCCTCTAGAGCAGGCCCTGCCCCACTTCTCCCTTTGCCTGCTCCAACCCCCTACTCATTCCTGGTGGGAGGAAGTGGGCATGGCTCTCCCCAGGCGGGAAGTGCGGGAAGCTGGAACAGCAGGTTCTGGTTCTCCCTAGGGACCAGAACCAGGGAGGATCGTGGGAGGAGGACTGGGGCTCAGGGGTGCCCCCAGGAGCCTTCACAGTGCAGAGGCATCGCAGAAGGAGACAGGTGCACAGTGGAGCCTGAGCTCAGAGAGAGGAGGGCTGTGGGTGTCAGAGGAGTTGGGGTCCAGGAGTCGGAGAGGAGGTGACTGGGTCTCCGCGGAGATCCTACTCTCCAGGGGATGGGACAAGCGCAGAGAGATGAGGACTTAGAGCCACAGGGACAGCAGAGTCGCAGGAAGACAGTCGTGGCGGTCCGTGGGGCCGTGGGGGGCAGGAGACGTCACTGCCCCGCCCACCCGTCCCCCCTTTGCTCCTCAGCCCTGAAGCCTCAGAAGGGCTCAGTCCCAGACTGGGCCATCGTGCTGATCACTATCACGCTGGTGGCCGCAATCGTCAGCCTGATGTATGGAGTCAAGATGGTGAGTGAAGCTGATGCCCAAATCTGTGGGTCCCCGAGGCCCGCGGGGGTGGCCCTGGGCCCCCAGGACTCTGAGGAAGGCAGGGCTCGGGGCGGCAGCCACAGCCAGCGGTGCTGAGTGACAGGGAGTAGCGGGGGGGGGAGGAGCCCCGTGTGACTGGCTGAGGGACTTGGGCCTGGAGGGGATGGTGAGCTGCCTCTGGGAGAGGGGCCGGGGCTGGGCAGCCTGCGAACCTGATGGAGCTCGCTCGGGGCGAGGCAGGATCAGGCCTTGGAGTCCCGGCTCTGCCATGAGGACTGTGTGGCCTGGTACAAGTTACTTAATCTCTCTGAGTTCAGGGTCTCTATTAACAGGGATAACGAGAGCGCACACAGCACTTGGTTTGTGCTAGGAGCCGTGTAGGTCACAGGTCACGGCAGCTGTGCGTCCGGGGAGATGGCAGGATCCCTCATGTCACAGACAGGGCCGCCGAGGCCTGGATGAAACGCAAAGGGTGACGCCTGCCTCACAGGGCTGTTGGAGGCTCCTGCGGCCTCCCGCATGTAGAGCACTCCAGGAGAGGCGCTGAGACCCTGGGTGGCTGGGGCTGGGGCTGGGGCAGTAGTCCACGGCGCCAGTGTAAATAGGGAAACCATTGGAGAGATTCTCCTGTGCCGGCTTGAGGACAGCCGCGCATGGCGCCGGGAAGAGGCACAGCAACAGTAAGAATGGGCGTTCTCCAAGGGTCCGAAGGCAGAACTGCATCAGGTGTCTCTGGCCACAGTGGCGATAACCCGGGTGAGGCTGACCCAGGGCTGGACTGACAGCGGTGGGCAGATGTGTGCAGAAGTCCTTCGCATGAGGCTGCAATGGCCTCTGGGAAGGCACGTGGTTCTGGAAAAGTCTTTGTGGGCATCCTGTTACGCACCCATGGACGAAAACCCTTCCTTCATAACCTCCCTGCTTGATTTTTTGGTGACGGTTGACGCAAGGGACTCCATGTTGATTCTGACAATTTTCACAGTGGAGGAGCTGAGGGCTGGGCAGTGGGGTCCCGGCCCCCTTGCTCAACCCGTCCTCAACGTCTCTTGTCTCACAGGCCTGCCAGCTCCGGAGGGAAGTGAACATGGGCTGCGGCTGCACTTCCGTGACCCCTTACAGCTGTCACCAGGAGGCCAGCAGGCAGCGCTACTCTGTCAAGTGAAGGGGCGGGACCAGGACAACCACGCACCCCTACCCCTTTGGTCCTCCTCTGCTGTCAGACCCGTCTCCAGGTCCACCTATCCCATTCACCCTGGCTGAGGCCATTTCCTGAGGGTGGATTCTGGGGGTCACCGCCTCCCCCACCCCACCCCTGCCAGGTGTCCCCCACCGAAGGTGTAAGGAGAATCCCCACTCCCGGAGAAGCCCCTTAGCTGAGGAAGCTTCTCTTGGCCACAGGAGCAAGAAGGGGGGTTCCCCTTCACACCCCCTCCATAGTGAGCCCCACAGGACCCTCTGATTCATTCCCATCAGGCAGATGGAGGAATCCCCCAAGACCACCCCGGGATGGTGGTGGACACAATTCCTGCTTAATAAACTGGTACCCTCCCTCGCCACAGTCTCCCGGCTGCTATGTGTTTGCCCGGCGCAGGGCTTCCTCATTGGTCTGGTCCCTGCCACTCACCAGTTGAGTGACCTTGGGAAAGTCGCTTCCCCACTCTACGGCTTGCTTGTCCTCACCCTTGAGGTGAGGAGGGCACTGCCAGCCTCAGGCTGGGCCTCCTGGGTGAGGCGCGTAGCACATTCTTCAGCTCCCAAAATGCGCACACCTCTGTGGTCAGCGGGGCTGCTTCCTGGCCGGGCCCTCCGCCTCCCGCTCAGACGAAACAGCCTCTGCTGGCTCTCAGAGACCAGTCTGGGTCTCCACCTGCTCCCAGCTCCGTCCACCCTGGGTGCCGGGCCCTCTGGGTAGAGTTGTGGCTGCAAAAGGCGGGGTGGGGGAGGCGGGGGGAGTAGCATGCTCATTCACAAACACTTATTCCAGGGGCAGGCGTTTGGTGCAGCGGTTGGAGAGGCCTGCATTCCATATCCGAGTGCTGGTTCCAGTCCTGTCTGTGCCCCTGATTCCAGCTCCCTGCTCATGTGCACCTTGGGAGGCACAAGGGGTAGATGATGGCTCAAGGGGTTGGGTCCCTGCCACCCACATGGGAGACCCAGATTACCTCTGGACTCCCGGCTTGGTCTGCTCCCGGCTGGGCCATGGCAGGCATTCAGGGAGTGAACCAGCACATGGGAGCGCTCCTTCGCCCTCTCCTTCTCTCTCAAATAAATAACTCAAAATAATTCTTACAAAAGCTTATGCCAAAGTGGAGATTTGCACCTGTGACGGGACCGGCATGCTGGGCTGTCACTGTCGGTTGAGGAGGCTGTTCTGGGCATTCTAGGGGTTAGCAGCACCCCTGGCCTCCATCCACCAGATGCCAAGAGCACCCCCCTGGAAGGTGTGACAAGAAGGTCTCCAGAAACTTCCAGGTTTCCCTTGGGGAGCTACAATTGCCCTCCCCTGTAGACAGCCATTGTCCTGGGGGCCTAGGTCCCTGGGGAGAGGCTGGGGTGGGGGGCTAGGGGGTAGAGGAGCTGTCAGGAAGCCCTGGGCACCGGTGGAGTTGCAGGGGAAGGCCTGCCTCTGCCTCAGTTTCCTCGTCCTGCAGGACGCCATGCCTGGTAGGCAGCATGTCCGGTTCTGAGGAGTCAGGTCTTGGCCTGACTCTGTGGAGTCTCATTAATCTCCCATCAATTGCATTAATGAGCACTTGGCCTCTTCCCACCCATTCCAGCCCTGCCTAGGGCTTAGGGACAAGTTACACCAAGCGATGAGAGCAAGCCATGGGTTCAGTCCTATAAACCTTGTAGGAGCCCCAGCTGGCCCGGGGCCTGGCCTCTCTACTCGCCTTGCTGCCCCCCCTTTCCTTAGCCCTACCTCCACTCCATCACCAGAAGGAAGCACCTGTGAGCTCCTACTGTGGGCCAGGCACCCCATCCCTCCCCCACCCACCGCCCCAGGGGATAAAGACAAAGCCCAGTCCCTGGGGAGCTCACTCTCCATCAGGGAGACCAGGAGCAAGCCATGAGCCAGCAACAGAGGGGGGGTGGGGCCTCCTTGAGACCCCTCTGTCCCAGCCCCAGGCACCCTTCTGGGGAGACCAGTGACCGCCTCTGAGCTAATGCTTATTTTAGGCAGGGAGGGAGGAGGAAGGGAAGCAGACGGGGGAGGAGGGGTGGAGAGGGTGTCAGGAGCTCTGAGAAGTGAGATGTCTGGGTGACTGTTGGGAAGTTGGGATGAGGGCTTCAAGGCAAAGAAATGGCCATTGGGAATAGGGAGCTGGGAGCAGGACGGGGCAGGAGCCCCGAATGCCCAGCGACTCGGCAGACTCAGTCTTTCTGGATGGGGGGAGGTGTTTGTCCCCTCAGGGAAGTGTGTGATGATGGCCCCTGGACTCATGCTTGCTGGACCTCGCTGTTCCCACGGCTTGTGCTGCGGGGGCACATCTGGAAGCACCTGCCTCTGGCTTCTCCCTCCTCTGCTCTTTCACCTGATCCCCTGTGGCCAGCTCCACCCAGGGCAGGAAGAGTGGCCGTGTGTGAGTAAGGGGTGTGGAGGGCTCAGCTGACGCGAGAGGCTGGAGGAGGGCGAAGTGTGAAGCTGGTGATGGATTAGAATGGGCACTTCCACCCAGAGCCCCCGCCTGGCCAGCCTCAGCCAGCTCCCAGTCTTCTAGAACCTGCCAGCTGGGGGCCACCCCTGCCCAACCCTTCCAGCCACTGGGGGTGGGTCAAGAGCCTGCCCCCTCCTGGTTCTCTTTCCCTGCCCCAAATCCCACCCCTTACGCAAGCATGCAGGTACCTGGCTCATGACGCGGCACCTGCGGTCTCGTGTTATCAGGGCAGCCCCGTGGGGTGGGGTGGCTCCATTTGCTTAAGACTTAGTCCCAAGGGGCCCCAGGCCCCGTGACGTCAAACCCCGCTCCATATAAGACGCGGGGTCCTCAGCCCACGTCCCCAAGCTGCCACCCAGCTCTGACATGGCGCAGCCAGCCTGCGGACTCCGTTCCACCTTTGGCTTCCAGTGCTGCCTCCTCCTCCTTCTGGTTTCTTGGGAGGCAGGTAAGATGCTTCAGGGGCAGAGGGACCGTCAGCGCACAGGGGTGCAGACTTCAGAAGAGGCTTGTGTCTCGGTGTTCGTGGAGCGGGATGGCCAATCCCAGAAATGAGTGACAGGGAGCGGGCACGGGGGCGGGGGTCAGCAGAGAGGGATGCAGGAGATGAGCTCCCCTGCTCTCTCTGCTCCTTAAGCCAAGGCCCTTAAGGCTGCACCCACCCAGAGGGGCTTCTCCAAGTTTGCATCGGGTGGGCAGGGCTGGGGACCTCCTTCCTCTGAGCACGCTGCATGCGACAAATTCCCAGAGACCCACGGTTCTTTGTCTCATTTCATCTCCGCATCCCTGGATGGTGATTGGCACTCCCATCTTGTACATGAGAGGAGGGAGACCAGAGATCACGTGGGGGTGGGGGCACAGGGGGAGCGAGACGCCCTCTGCCCCCCGCCTCCCCGAGGGTGGCTGTGGGCAAGCTTTTTCCCCTGGGAACCCCGTGCTGTGCAGACCCAGCTGCTAGAGCTGACTCGGACCCTCTGACGTCTACCCCCCCGTGAGATGGGGAGGGTGCTGCTGAGCGTTGTTGCTCCCTGGGCATTTGCGGTGCACCGGACTGTGTTCTGGGTGCCCCCTCCCTCCTCGCGGCAGCTCATTTCACAGCTGGGAGGCAGCCCAGGGCTTTGGGGAGAAAGTGAGTGCGAAGAGTTGATGGGTGCAACAGACTCCACAGACGGGGTGAAATTGCAGGCTTAGTGCATGGTGACTGGACCAGGAGTAGAGGTGCAAGCACAGGGCCAGTGTGCAGGGGGCCTGGGCAACAGGGGGCAGGGGTTTTCATAAGGGCGACACGCAGTGGTTGGGAGTAATGGTGCCAGTGATCTCAGCCAGAGCACAGAAGCTCCCAGCAGTGTCTTCTGGTCGTGTCTGAGTGAGGGTGAAGGGTTAGGAGGAGCGCAGGGTCATGCTGGGATCAGAGGGGACAGGGGCTTTGAGCTGCCTGAGATCCGTCTCTGCAGTGCATCGCGTCTGAGGCTGACTTGATGCTGCCTCCCCCTGCACGGAGGGTCTGCGGACAGCAGAGCACCAGAGCTGCCCCCAGCCTCCTTGCCCATCCTCTCTGGCTCTTCCTGTCCGTCCCCCTTCCCTCTGGCTGCAGCTCGGGAAGGAGCGGCCAGCAGGGGGCAGAAGGGACTGCATCGTGAATCACCGCCAGGCATAGCCATCGGGAAGGAGGTTTGCTTTAGGCCAGAGGGCAATGGCTCTGAAGGGCCCTGTGGGTGTGGCCTCGCCAGAGCCAGGCTGGGTGGGATGGAGGGAGAGGGTGGGATAAGGACAAGAGGAGCCGGATGCTTGGATCCTGTAGAAAAGAGTGAGTGGGGCCGGCGCCGCGGCTCAGTAGGCTAATCCTCCGCCTAGCGGCGCCGGCACACCGGGTTCTAGTCCCGGTTGGGGCGCCAGATTCTGTCCCGGTTGCCCCTCTTCCAGGCCAGCTCTCTGCTGTGGCCAGGGAGTGCAGTGGAGGATGGCCCAGGTGCTTGGGCCCTGCACCCCATGGGAGACCAGGAAAAGCACCTGGCTCCTGGCTCCTGCCATCGGATCAGCGCGGTGCGCCGGCCGAAGTGGCCATTGGAGGGTGAACCAACGGCAAAGGAAGACCTTTCTCTCTGTCTCTCTCTCTCACTGTCCACTCTGCCTGTCAAAAAAAAAAAAAAAAAAAAAAAAAAAGAGTGAGTGGGTGAGAGCGGGGAGGAGTTGAGGCTGGGCTGGGGTGGATGGGTCAGGGCTAGGCACGCACCTGTGTCCATAGTGAGGCCAGCAGGGAGGGATGAGGTGTGACTGGATGGAGGAAGCCCCTTAGCCCACAGTTTAGGGGAACCCCTTTTAGCCCATGCTTCTGGGGTACCCCCCTTATTCCACAAAAATGGTTTGTCCTGTCTTGCCTGTAGGAAGTCATTCCTAGTGCTTGGTGCTGGAACCCCAGGGCCAGTGTCACGCAGCCTGGGTGGCACAGGTGCAGAGTCCACCTTACGTCAGCTTGGAGGGCGGCACAGGTGGGGCTGGGGTCCTGAGAGAATCCCGCAAGGACATTTTCCTGCAACGAGTGCTATTCGAGTTCCTTCCTTCCTTCCTTCCTTCCTTCCTTCCTTCCTTCCTTCCTTCCTTCCTTTCTTTCTTCCTTTTTTTTTTTTTTTTTTTTTGACAGGCAGAGTGGACAGTGAGAGAGACAGAGAGAAAGGTCTTCCTTTGCTGTTGGTTCACCCTCCAATGGCCGCCGCGGCCGTCGCGCTGCGGCCGGTGCACCGCACTGATCCGAAGGCAGGAGCCAGGTACTTATCCTGGTCTCCCATAGGGTGCAGGGCCCAAGCACTTGGGCCATCCTCCACTGCACTCCCGGGCCACAGCAGAGAGCTGGGCTGGAAGAGGGGCAACCGGGACAGAATCTGGCGCCCCGACCAGCACTAGAACCCGGTGTGCCAGTGCCGCAAGGTGGAGGATTAGCCTAGTGAGCCGCGGCGCCGGCCTCGAGTTCATTTCTATGATAACGATAACGTGTGCTCATTATGGAAAGTGGGGAATGGAAAGATAAGTTCCCTCTGACCGCCCTAGAGAACCTAGACAACCAGCTGAGTCTGTATCCCTTGAGTGCTCCTTTTTTGTTTCTGTGCCTAAGTTTCAGATCGCACCTTGAGCTCCTACTGTATACACATTTTAAGGAGCATTTACCTACATTACTGTAAATGGAGTAAGCCATTTTGGGGGGTAGAACCCCAAGAAACACTAGGAAATGCCTTTCCGGGAGAGGCCCTCTGACCTCTGCCACAAGGCGTGAGTGGCTTAGCCAATGTTCTCCCTTTCAAACCGGAGGAAGCTGATGGGAGAGGCCTTTGGAGATCTATGTAGTTTGATGTTCTGGGGTTTCCCTACCCCAAGGCTGAGTGTCCACCTACAGTGTCTTAGCCAAAGCCAGATTTTCCTCTCTGCACTCTGCCTATGCGCAGTGACCCAGGCCATCGGTGTAGTAAGTGAAATGACTATCTCACGGTGGAAACCTCTCAGGGAGATAAAGTTGCACTCCTGGGAGACCTGGAGAGAAGGGATGGTCCTCTCATCCTGGGAGCGTGGCCCTGCTTTGCTGCCTGGGTGGGCTCAGGACCAAGGCCCCGCCAGAGCTTCACCCCAGATTTTACTAGCACAGGCCCACAGCTGTGCAATGAGGAGGTGGAATTCCAAGACCTGGTTCTGTGCATCTGGTTCCTGACGGTGCCTGTTAGTTGAATGACCACCAGCATTGCACACCTGCGGGCTGGAGGCCTTCTCTCCACATCATTTGTCTCAGGGCCTCAGTGACTTAACAGAGCCGAAGTCATCGCTTAGCCTCCCAATCTTTGGAGGTTACCAATACGTGTGTTTCTTACCTGATGTGCATAACGAAAGGTTACCAGCGAGACTTCTAAAGAGTTCTCATCAGTTTTAAAGTATTCTTTCTGTTTTAAAATTTGTGTTTATTTTATTTGAGAGATTTACAGAGAGAGAGAGGGAGATACAGAGAGATCTTCCATCCCCTGATTCCCTTCCCAGATGGCTGCAACAGCCAGGGCTGAGCCAGGCCAAAGCCAGGAGCCTGGAACTCCATCTGGGTTTTCCACATTGGGTGGCAGGGGCCCAAGCACTTGGGCCATCTTATGCTGCCTTCCCAGGCGCATTAGCGGGGAGCTGGATTGGAAGTGGAGCAGCCAGGACTTGAACCAGTGCCCATACAGGATGCTGGTGTCCCAGGCAGAGGCTCAACCAGCTTGTGCCTCGATGCCGGCCCCTAGTCTTGAAGTTTTCTTTTATTCTTCATCTAGTGCATATTTGGGAAGGGCCCTCCTATGGGCCAGACACGGTTCTGGGCTGCAGACGTAGGGTTGAACAAGACAAAAGCGCCCGCTGTTGGGCTACGAAGCAATGGATGTTGATAAGACATGGCAGGAGAAGTGGCCCAGGAGTGCAGAGGCTGCCTACTGACAGAGCTGGAGGGAGCAGGTGGGACAGGAGCGACCCCTGGGCTGCTCCAGGCAGGAGGGCAGGTGGTGGGTTCAGGCTGCCCTTAGAGCCGTGAGGAGGGCAGCACAAAGCATGGGCCAATTCAGACTGCAGCTGGGATCAGCAGTGCTTCCCAGAGCCCTCTGCGCACCCCGCGTCTGACTCCTCCCACTGAGCTGCTGTGGGCGGCATCCTTGCTCCTCTTCACGGTTGAGGACAAGAGCGGCAGAGCGTTTAACCACCCCGGGGCAAGGCTGCAGAGCTGGTGACGGACACAGTCCTGGACTCCAGTCTCGTCCTCCGTCTCTCCAGCCCGGCCGAGTCACCACTCTGGACTGCTGTCCGCTCCTTTGGTCACTTGGTCTCTTGTCACGTCACCAGGCATTTACCTGGGCAGGAATCCTGACTTGGCCAATTCCTTGACCTTGTTCATTCTCCTTCCCACGTGTACAATGGAGTGACCATTGTTTTGACTTCATGGTTTCCCATACACCTGGAATACAGGAGTTTCACAAGTGTCACTGTCCTTCTTTCCCCAAGAGACAGAGCATCCCTGAGGTGGTGTGCTGTGGTCCTAACCAGGAACGTCTGGGCCCTGCAACCCAGAATGTGCGTTCCGAGCCTGGCTCAACTTCTTCCTTGCTGGGTGTTCTCGAGAAGATTGCTTAACGTCTCTGAGCCTTGCTTCCTCCTGCGTGCAGTTGGCAAGGCCACGAGTAGTTCTCAGCCTCAAAGGGTTCTTGTGGAAAGTTAGAGTGAGTGTGTGTCCTGTGTCTCCGTGAGTGCTCGGGGTGGGGGGGTTGGCCGTCCCCACTGCTGTGTGGTACGTTCCTTCCTGAAACTCAGTTTCTTCAGCTGTGCAATAGGACAGGTGGGCAGGGTCTCAGGAGCCTCATGGGAGGGGAGAGAGCAGTCACGGTGGAAGAGAATCCTGGAAGACCACGTCTACGGGGCAAGCAGCAGGTGCCAGAGCCCAGCGGATGCCAGCCGCGGGAATCAGAGCATGGGATTGGCATGTCAGAGCCGGGGCGGAAGTGCAGGCCCCTCCCTTCCCCCCACCTCAGTTCCCTGAAGGCACCCAGGGTTCTTTACCACCCCCCTCTTGGCCCACCCAGATTCATCCCAGGATGGAGCTCCCCAGCCCCCACTGCTGCTTGCCAGCCGGCAGCTGGGTAGATTGGTTCCCGTGATTGGGAGCAGGTGCAGGTTCTGGTTGCCGCCTTGAGCTAACAGCCTGGAAATTTCAGCCGCTCTCTTGGGTGATCTCCTGATTCCCGCTGTCCCGGCTAGATAGCAGAGACAGCTCCTCTGGCCCCATCTGCTTGTTTCCCCATGGAATTAAGACCTGTCTCTGTCCACGGACGGGCTGTCCCCCCTCCACACACACACACACTGTCCTGACATGCAGCCAGTCCCTCCCAGGATCTGCTGCCTTGTTTGCTGCTGTTGGAACCTCTAAGACAAATGTCTTTTCCTTTTTTTTTTTTTGATAGGCAGAGTGGACAGTGAGAGAGAGAGACAGAGAGAAAGGTCTTCCTTTACCGTTGGTTCACCCTCCAATGGCCGCTGCGGCCGGTGCACCACGCTGATCCGAAGGCAGGAGCCAGGTGCTTCTCCTGGTCTCCCATGGGGGTGCAGGGCCCAAGCACTTGGGCCATCCTCCACTGCACTCCCTGGCCACAGCAGAGAGCTGGCCTGGAAGAGGGGCAACCGGGACAGAATCCTGCACCCTGACGGCTACTAGAAACCAGTGTGCCAGCACCACAGGCGGAGGATTAGCCTAGTGAGCCGCGCGCCAGCCCAAATGTCTTTTCCTTTCAAGAGGGCACCTTCATCCACCGACAGGAGGCTTTTGGGACATAAAGAGGGGGCTCCAGAGGCCTGGGGGTGCCGCAGGGCTGGGTCGGCTCTTGTTCTCCCTCACCTCCTGATGTGAACACTTCCCATCTCCCTCTGCTCCTCCTCCTCGCCGTTTCTTACACTTACTGCTCTCACTCACAGCCTGCTAACCTTGTGGGAAGTTCTCCCAGAGGTCTCACCTCAGTCCCTCACCCTGTTACCTGTAGGGTAGAGTTGGGATGTTATGGAAAGATGAGGTTCTGGTTATTTCTTTTCCTCTGAGTGCTGTCCTGCAAAGGGGATTCCACGTCACTGGTGAAGCAAAATGCAAGTCCACACCTGCTCCCACAGCCTACCAACCCACAGGCATGGAGGGGGACATGGATGTCGACCGGCCCCCACACGACAGTAGTGTTGTGTTGAAGGCAACGGGAAAGAGTGATTAGCAGAGAATTTGTTGAGCTCGGAGATGAAGCTAGATCTTATCTGCTTGGGAGAATGCAGAAGTTTAATCCCTGAGATTAAAAGTTGAGGAGTAGGGGCTGGCGCTGTGGTGTAGTGGGTAAAGCCACTGCCTGTAGTGCCAGCATCCTATATGGGCACCAGTTCGAGTCCCGGCTGCTCCACTTCCAATCCAGTTCCCTGCTATGGCCTGCGAAGCAGTAGAAGATGGCCCAGTCCTTGGGCCCCTGCACCTGCATGGGAGACCCGGATGAATCTCCTGGCTTCTGGCTTCGGATTGGCCCAGCTCTGGCCATTGAAGCCATTTGGGGAGTGAACCAGTGGATGGAAGACCTCTCTCTCTCTCTCTCTCTCTCTCTAAAACTCTGCCTTTCATATAATAAATACATAAACCTTTGGAAAAAAAAAGAGTTGAGGGGTAGATGTGGGAAATGAGGCAGCATTTTTGCTGCAGGCAGAGTCTGAGCAAGGGTCCAGAAGCTTGAAGCGAGGTGGGGATTTGATCTCATGGCACTCAGAGAAGACTGGCTCGGGAGAGGATCTAGGGGAACACGGACTCCTAGTGAGGGGGGAGGCGGGGAAGAACACGGGGTCGGTGTCTTACCTGCTGTCTCCCTCCACAGGTGCTGCTACCTCTCAAGAACTTCAGAGAACGGGTGAATCCCCGACGTCGGGTCACTTGCTCCCCCTCACTCCAGCCCTTGCTGGCAGTACTGCCTCTGAGCAGTCTGTTCTGCACTCGGGACAAAGACCTACAGACCCCCCGAAACCTACCGAGACCCAAAAGCCAAAACGCCGCTGCACCACCACTCACCGTTCCAGTGCAGTCCACAAACCTCTAGACAACTCCACCACCTCAGACCACGGAAGCTCTACCGCTCGGCCTGAAGCTCCTCCCACTTCCAAGCAGAGCCCCAGCCATCAAGGGCAAACCCCGGTGATCCGGAACGGACGCTCTGCCGATAATGCTAGCTCTGCTGAGGCACACAGAGGATCAGCCGACTTGGGACCTCCAACCCCAACAACCAAGAGCAAGACAACTTGTCTCAAGTCTACAGCAAGCAGGTCAACAGCAACCAAAAGGCCAGCTACAAGTGTAAGGCCATCGGAAAAGGCGAGCACTGTTTTAGGGAACAAGAGCAGCGCCTCACGCAAGACCACAAATCCTTTCCATGACTCCGTCAGTTCAGAGGTCAACAGGGAAACCACACCTTCCTCAGAAAAAACCACAGAAGCCTCAAGGTCATCAGACAAAGCTACTGGGACCCCCAAGAAGTCAGAAGGAACTACAGATTATGGAAATACACATATGTCAGACACGACCCTGAGGACTGCCCAACACATGAAGACCACATCAGCTGCCAAGACCACAGCACCCCTGGTAAAGCCTACAAGGCCTGGAGACTTGACCACATTCTCCAACAAGAAGATTGTAAGTACTCAAGAAACCCCCACAGGTGCCCAAGACACACCTGTCCCTCCAGAACATGAAGGAAAGATCACAGTGGTCAGTGAGGTCACGGGTGTACAGGGACAGCCCACAGGACATAAAGAAGAGACCACGCTAACTGATGGGAAGATCATGAATACCCAAGAAGCCCCTACAGGGCATGGACAGAAGACCACAGCAGCCAACGAGAAGACTACAGATGACCAAGAAACCCCTACAGGGCATGGACAGAAGACCACAGCAGCCAACGAGAAGACTACAGATGACCAAGACGCCCCTACAGGACATGGACAGAAGACCACATCAGCCAACGAGAAGACTACAGATGACCAGGAAACCCCTACAGAGCATGGACAGAAGACCACAGCAGCCAACGAGAAGACTACAGATGACCAAGACGCCCCTACAGGGCATGGACAGAAGACCACATCAGCCAACGAGAAGACTACAGATGACCAGGAAACCCCTACAGGGCATGGACAGAAGACCACATCAGCCAACGAGAAGACTACAGATGACCAAGAAGCCCCTACAGGACATGGACAGAAGACCACACCAGCCAATGAGAAGACTACAGATGACCAGGAAACCCCTACAGGGCATGGACAGAAGACCACAGCAGCCAATGAGAAGACTACAGATGACCAAGAAGCCCCTACAGGGCATGGACAGAAGACCACATCAGCCAACGAGAAGACTACAGATGACCAAGACGCCCCTACAGGGCATGGACAGAAGACCACATCAGCCAACGAGAAGACTACAGATGACCAAGAAGCCCCTACAGGGCATGGACAGAAGACCACACCAGCCAACGAGAAGACTACAGATGACCAGGAAATCCCTGCAGGACAAGAAGAGACCACATCAGCCAACAAGGAGACCGTAAGTACTCAAGAAGCATCTACAGGACATGAGGAAGAGCCCACATTGGCCAACGAGAAGGTCACAGGTGCCCAAGGGAAGCCCACAGGACATGAGGAAAAGACCACACCAGGCCATAGGACAATCACACATACCCAAGAAACCCCTACAGGGCATGAAGAAGAGCCCACGTTGGCCAATGCAAACAGCATAAGTACCCAAGAAACCCCTATGGAACACGAAAGGACCACATTAGTCAGTGAGAAGACCACACCATTCCCAGTAGAGCCTACAGGACATGAAGCAAAGATCACATCAGTGCACGGGACTATGACACAAGTCCTAACAAAGTCCACAGAAAACCCGGAAAAGACCACATCAGCCACAAGTGTCTCCCAAAAGCATACAGGACACCCAAAGAATACCACACTGGCCACTGAGACCGGAAAATCCTCAATGCAGTCCACGGAAAACCCAGCAAAAACAGCAGCCGCCACAGAAAGCACACGACCTGTAGGCAGGATTACAACAAAGAGATCCATCACTACTTCCTGTTTAAATAAAACTGCAGTCACCCATCAGGTACCCACTGGGTCCTCTACAAACACCACAGCTAGACTGGACCCAGGTTCTGTCATGTCAGAAGTTCCAGGCAACAAGAGCCATGGCCATCAGGATAAAGACGTCACCCAGGAAGGTGCCCACGCTGGAGAAACGGGAGGGAACGATCCCTTCCCTGCGTGGGCCATAGTCATTGTGGTCCTGGTGGCTGTGATCCTCTTCCTGATGTTCCTCGGCCTGATCTTCCTGGTAAGGGACAGGGGTGCCCCAGAGGAATGAAACTATGAGACAGGGAAGCTGGGAGGAGGGCTCAGGGTTACAGGGGAGAGCCTGGGAGAAGAGGGGTGGTGGGGGAGGCGATGGCAAGAGAGGGGTCGTGGTGGTGAAACCGAAGGGCAGGCAATCAACCAACAGGAAGTGGAAGCTTTCACTGGGGAGAAAGAGGGAGTGGCCGTGGCCAAGAGGGAAGGGGTGTGGCCAAGAGGGAAGGGGCATGGCCCAGAGGGAAGGGGTGTGGCCCAGAGGAAGGGGCGTGGCTAAGAGGGAAAGGCGTGGCTAAGAAGGAAAGGGTGTGAAAGAGAACATTTAGGGGTTGAAAATAGAAGTGGGGGTGTGTGAGGATAGAGGGTATCAAGGTGAGAAGGACAGGACAGAGGGGGCTGAAGTTGGGGTCTGGGACTCAGTGCATTGGATCTGGGGCTGGAATGAAGATCAAGGTTTGCGGAAGAAGGAAACCGAAGGTTCAGGATTGGACAGGACAGGAGAGAGGGCCTGGGATGCGGGGAGCCGAGGGAGGCAGATGGTGAGGCAGACGCTTCTCATTCCCCGCTTCTCGTCCCAACCGCAGGTCTCCTATCTGACTCGAACGCGCCGTGTACGGACCCAGGACGCCGAGGACAACGAGCCGGACGACGAGGGGGGCCCCAACTCCTACCCGGTCTACCTGATGGAGCAGCAGACTCTCGGCACCGGCCAGATCCCCTTCCCACGGTGACGGCTGAGGAGCTGCCACGCCCACATCTTCCACGCGCTTCCGTCCTGGACGACGACTGAGACTCAACATGTCGATTTCGTGGACTCCAGGAAGGGCAGAAAGGACGGACAGCATGAACTCTCCATCTGCTGCTGCTTCTCCGCTGAGACCTGCTGGGAGGAGGTGATTAGCAAGAAGGCTTTAGACTGGGAGGCAAGAGAAGAAAGAATGAACAACACAGGCTAGCGCTCTCTGTAGGAGGCGATGGCCGGAGGATGAAGAGGGACCTGTGGGGTGAAGACCAACGCAGGACACTGGGACCTGGGCCACACCTGATGGAGGGAGCCGCAGAAAGGCCACGCCCTCACTGTCTTGGTGGGTGGGGGCCGCGGGAAGTGGGGACCACGAGGGCAGAGCCCGCAATTCGTGACTGATGTAGAAACAGACTTGTCTCTGACTTCCCTGGACCCTTGCTTTTCTTTCTCTTTTTAATGAAAATACAAAAAGCAGAACAACAAAAGAAGCTATGAAGAAAAGAGGATTTCTTTCCTTCTCCCTCCTCTCCATGCCCTGGAGCGAGGAAGATTCCAGAGAGAAGACCACGGACCTTGCACCCGGGGTTCTTCACTCTTGCTCCGCGCAAGCCTTCTCCGCGGCCTCCTCCCTGGGTTGGCTCGCTGGGCTGTGGGGCTGCACAAGGAGGGGATTTCTGCTCACGCTGCAGCCTCGGCCGCCTGGGAGCACGCCACGCCCTCCCAGATGGCGCTCCCCGCTCGGCTTGTTTTTCTGTCTCTTTCTGCAAAAGTCATTGGTGGCTTTATCTCGTAGGACTCATCTGTGTTCCCTGCTGCCCCTGTCCTCCTACACCTTCACCCCAAATGCTGGCTCTCCTGCTTGCTGGCCTCCATCTGCACGTGCCTTCTGGATTTTTCTCTGCCCCTCCACCTGTCACTGAGAGGGCAAAGGGGGCCGAGTGGAGTGGACAGATCACAGCACCCCTTTATCTATTGGTCTTTTTTATAATAAAGTGTAATGTGTTTATACAGCAAGGACATGGTCGTTCTGTCTGGGTCTCTGGCTCTGGCCGTGACCTCACAGATGGCTCTGAGCAGGAGCTGCGCTGGCTTTACCTAAGAGCCAGCCTCAGTTCATGCTGTGTTGTTTGCCCGGTGACAGAATGAGGAGAAAACACACCAACTGATGAGCCAGCACACTCTGTTGAGGATATAAAGAAGGGTAAGCTAGGGTTCCCACCTGACACAAACTTGAGACAATTAAAATGAGATGCTATCACAAGGCAGGGCTCTACCCACTGAAACACCCACGCAGTGAGCGTGCGTCACAGCCACGCTTACGTGAGGACCGCAGCCTTGCTCTGGGGAGCCTGTCCATGCCCAGCGTCAGTCTCCACACAGCCCTGGCCCTGGCTCTCCCAGGAGACGCGCCGCTGGCACTGGGGCTGGCGCCGGCACCGAGAAGAAAGGCACTGTAGTGTGCCGCAGGCCGTCCAGCCTGAACCCCACCCGGAACCCAACAGCAGGGCGAGTGTGTGTGTGGTGTGTGTGTGTGTGTGACTAAATGTGTGCTTTTCTCTGTGTGTCTGTTTGTGTCTCTGTGTGACTGTATGTGTGTGTCTCTCTGTTTATCTGTGTGTGTCTGTATGTGTGTGTATGTCTCTATGTATCTCTGTGTCTGTGTGTGTGACCATATGTGTGCTTGTGTCTGTGTATGTTTGTGTATGTCTGTATGTGTCTGTGTATGTCTCTGTGTGTGTCTCTCTATGTGTGTGTGTGTCTCTGTATGTGTGTCTGTGTCTGGGTTTGGGTCTGTGTGTCTCTGTGTGTCTTTCTGTATGTGTATCTGTATGTGTGTATCTGTGTGTGTGTATCTGTATGTGTGTATCTGTGTGTGTATCTGTATGTTTGTATCTATGTGTATCTGTGTTTGTATGTGTATATCTGTGTGTGTATCTGTATGTATGTATCTGTGTGTGTATCTATATGTGTGTATCTGTGTGTGTATCTGTATGTTTGTATCTGTGTATCTGTGTTTGTATGTGTATATCTGTGTGTGTATCTGTATGTATGTATCTGTGTGTGTATCTGTGTGTGTATCTATATGTGTGTATCTGTGTGTGTATATGCGTGTGTGTATCTGTATGTGTGTATCTGTGTGTGTGTTTTGGGGGGTGACCATTTCCTGCTTTCAAGGCGGCCCCACTCTAGAAGCTGGAAGCTTATGGCACACAGCAATCCCACCCCCGACACTGACGTCGCTGTCACCTGGGCCTGGCTGGCCGATCTCTCAGGCTCGCTGGGAATCTGCCCGGGGAGGCCTTTGCTGAGGGTGGAACTGAAGCTTAGGTCTCAGAGAGGAGGCACGCGGGGTGCAGGGGACCCAGACTCGGGGGCTTGGAGAAAGCCTGAGGCAGGGGGTCCTTCCAGAAGAGGGGGAAGATGCTGGCCTTCAGCGGTCCGGGCCGTGGCGAGCCTGGGACAGGGTGTGGAAGTCCTGGGAGGGGCACAGAGGCCCACTCACCGCAGCCTCTGACATGGACGCTCTGTCTGAACCCCACTCAACTCAGAGTCTTGAACATCCACCCAGACTGACCCCTCCCCCGCCAAGGCACAGCGTGGGGCCCTGGGGCTGTCCGCCCCCCCCCCCTCCCCTGGATGATCACGTTGAGATCCAGGGGAAATCCTTGGGCAGGCTCCGGCTGGTCCCTTGCTAGCGACAGTTACTCTTGATGAGCAGGAGGTGGGGCGGGGCTTGGTGTGGGCGGGGTGAAGTGGGTGTGACTGGCTCCCCTCCCACTACCCATCTTCCCGCTACCAGGGAAGTCACCTCTGGGTAGCTGGTGTCCGAGACCAGGCGGGCTGGGTGTGCCAGGCTCGGGAGTGGGGCAGCAGAGGCTACAGTGCCTGCGGGGAGAGGTCAGGCAGCGGCTGGTCTCACTGGCAGAGCGATTCCTGGCTCCTGTCAGCCCGAATCTGGATCCATGGTAACCAGTTCCAACCGGCTTCTCCTGGGGGAGGACAGGCCTGGCCTTGTTTCCCTGCAGCCATCATCAATAAACTAATCAACGCTGGTGCTGGGATTGCTTCTTAGACTTTTTTTTTTTTTTAAGAGATTTATTTATTTATTTATTTGAAACTCAGAGTTACACAAAGAGAGAAAAAGAGGCAGAAAGAGAGAGTTCTTCCATCCACTGGTTCACTCCCCAATTAGCCGCAATGGCCGTAGCTGTGCCGATCCAAAGCCAGGAGCCAGGAGCCTTTTCTGGGTCTCCCAAGTGGGTGCAGGGGCCCAAGCACTTGGGCCATTTTCCACTGCTTTCCCAGGCCATAGCAGAGAGCTGGATCGGAAGTGGAGCAGCCGGGACTTGAACCGGCATCCATGTGGGATGCCGGCATTGCAGGAGGTGGCTTTACCTACTATACCACAGCGCTGGCCCTAGGCCCATTCTACAGATGAGCCAACCGAGGTTCAGAGCAAGGGGCCTTGTTCAAATCCCTACGGTGTCCATGGTGCAGGGTTGCTGGTTCTCTCTGACCCTGGGGTCTCCAGAGCCAGCTTCCATGCAGGGGGTGCAGGCCGGCTTGGGGGGCTGGGATGGTGGAGGGACCACCGAGGAACAGAGCATCAAGGAGTTTTGTACAAGAGGGAGCCCAGCTGCATCTGAGTCCAGATCTCTGCTTTCAGCCCCTGGAACCTCCAGAGACTTATGACCCACAGTCAGCAACGTCCCGGGCCGGGGTCTTCCCTGCCCGGCCTCGTGGTCTCATGCTCAGGGCTCTCCTTCATCCCCTCCCGGTGTCGCTCCCTTGCCTGCAAAGGAACGACACTGTTTACAGCTTATCGGTCTTCCGTAGACTTTTAATAAGAAAATAACAGTGACAGAAAAAGAATGAAGGGAGGAGAGTGAACAGAAAAGGCCCCCTCCTTCCTCAGCACACAGCTTATATACAAAATCCGGCCAATTGCAAGCGGGCTCCAGTCCATGCACGGAACACTCCAATCCACTGTCTGTTCACGCAGTGTGCACGCGTCCTCGGGCCAATCAGATGAGGTGTCACACAGCAGGCAGGCTCACCGCGCGGTCCTCGGTGCCATCTTGTTGTTTACAACATTCTCAACTCCTCTGGAAAGTCCCGACCGTGGGAAAGCATTGCCCTAACCGAAACTAGCAACATCCACCTTGTGATAAAGACACAGCAACAGCTATCAGACCGACCTTGACGTGGGGGCTCCATGGCTGTGCATCCCATGGAGCCCCACACCCGGTGCCCAGAAGCCCCAGGGAGTGCTGGCACTGCAGGAAGACCTGGCAATCTGGACCCTGTCACCTTCATTTTTCTCCACTCGGCCTCCTCCAAAGGCCTCTTGTGCCAGAAGTGAGACCTCCACTCTGGCTCCGAGGTGGGTCTCCTCTCTGGCAGGCTCTCAGGGTCACGGCCTCCCTGCCCAGGAGCAGGTGTGAGTGTCACAGTCACAGCCAAGTGAGAAAAGGGGTGAAGCCAGACCTGCCAGGGAGCAGCCTGCGGAGGCCAGGAGCCCAGCTGCCCGGTGCACGGCTCCCTGCGAGCATGGAGCACGCCAGCTTCCTATTACTCCTTCCAGAACCCTGGTCCTGGCGAGCTCCGAATTCCTCCTGGAGCTGCAGTCCCTCTGAGACGCCAGGCGTCTCCCCTCCTGACCCCCCGCAGCCCAGCTCTGCTCTGGAACCCAGACATCCTAGACAGCAACCACCCTTGATGATTCCTTCAAGGTGAGCAGAGGGAAACCTGCCTCTTGCATCCCAAACGCAGCGTCTCCTTGGGATCCTGGGAGCCGGGAGCGAATTCCCCACCAACCGGGGAGCACATGGAGGCCGCGGAAAGTCTGGAGACGAGTGTCCCTGGCTCAGGCGTGCTGCTTGCACGTTCTCTTTTTCTGGAAGCAAAGGTGACGGGTCTCTTTCTGCCTGCTTCTGCCTGTGCCCCTCCCACACACAGCGAGTCTGACCCCCACCTTCTCCTTGCAGCAAATCCACTTTTTCCTCTCGCTGCAACCCTAAGCTGGCAGCATGGACACAGCACCCACTCGTGCTCTATTTCCCAGAGTCCTGGGGTGCACGCGCATGGCTGCTGGATGAAGCTCAAGTGCTCTGAGTTCCCTCCACCCCATCTAACGCTTCGCTCGGTCTCAGAGCTAGGCCCTGGGGCCAAAGCCGAGTCAATGAAAACACCCCTTCCAGAAACGCTGCCCAGACTGAAGTCCTCGGCTCTCAAAATCCCCGGATAGAGACGGGCGTGGAGGGGCCACCCCCCCCCCCGCCCCGCCCAGATGGGCGTGGAGGGGCCACCCCCAACCCCCACCCCCGCCCAGCTGTGGGAGCCGTGTGGGAAATCAGTCTGCAGACAAATAAAATCTGAGCTCCTGCGGTCGCCTGACCCTTCTCCGCCACCCCTTCAGAATTTGGAGTGTTCCTGCTCAGTTACTAAAGCCCCCTGCTAGGCAGCGCATGAGGCCGCTGCACTCCCAGCGCAGGCTGCAGCGCGGCGCACAGGGGCACAGAGAGCAGGCGCGGTGGCAGAAGCAGGTTGAACGAGCACGGGGACATTGTGTGTGCCTTTTCTTTTCCCTCTGCGGTCTCTTCCATGAATCCTTCCTCCGGCCCATCCCAGCGACTCTGCCCGGACACTGCCCTGCAGTCCGGTCCTCCCCTCCCTGCTGCTCTGTGCCCCCATCCGCCTCGACCCCGTGTTCAGCTGTTGTCACAATGGATGCCGCCCACACTCAGCTGTGCCTGCTCGCGCTCTGAAATTCAGGCCTCTAGCTCCAGCTAGCCTTTTTAAAAAATCCTGTCTAGATGCTGTGTCCTGTCGAATGTGACATTCACATGTTCGTTTGGGAAACATTTTTTTTAAGAGTTGTTTTATTTATTTGAAAGGCAGAGTGACACAGATTTTCCATCTGCTGCCTCACTCCCCAGATGGTCATCATGGCCAGGG